GCTCTATGAAATACATCGAAAAGATTATCAATTCGGCTAGTCTTACGTGCATGGTGCAGTCTGTCGCTTTTATATATTTTATTTCGTGACTCAGCTGCATCCTCTCCGAAGTAACAAACGGGAAGTGGTGTATTCTGCATTATTTGCTTTGAGTGAACTATAACTTTATGTACTGTGAAAGTCATTGGCAGCCAGAGGTACTTCCTTTGATATAATTGACCAGTTTGAAAGCAATACTCTTCAAATTTATCCAAATTTAGGGAAAATTGACAAGATAAACATATTCATATTATTCTCATTAGAAATATTAATTCAGTGTATACTCCTAAAATTTTCGAAAATTTATCATATTCCGTAAATGCTCTTCGCGACGTGTTGCCGTCATTTGTGGAACCACAACCACCTGCTTTCGGAACATCAACATGAAGACTTAGTTCTTTCCACAACTCATTCCGGATATATATTTTCTTATCTTAATTGCATCTTTATCCTCCTCCGATCTAATTTGCCATTTCTTTACTTCCATCTTGTATCCTAAATGCAGTACGAACTCAAAAAGTCTAATCCAGTAGTGCAGTGGACTAATTCCGTACTTTAGATTTCCATCGATAGGATGAAATTTTACGCTCTTAAAATCTGTGACTTTAACAGAGTCAGTTTGGGTTCCATGGCATATTGGACATTTTTGATTTGATTTTGTATCGGTTAAAATATTCAAAACTTTTCCATTTATAACAGTTAAAAACACTCTGAACCTTATTTCGATTATCTTACCAGCTTCGATTTTAACACGTAAGTTTTCAAGCTCTTGAATTTGTTTATTTAAGTCAACAGCTTCTCTTGTTATCACTTCCTTAGTTTCACTCGTGTATTCTACTTTTAAAGGCCAACAAAATCTTGTGGACTGCGGAAAACAATTATTCCAAATCGGGGCTCCCGCGCTACTTAAGAGTCTCAAGGGAATCACTGTTGTGGCCAAAAGACATGAATCAGCATTTCGTGATGTAATTTGATCAAGGAAAGATTGCTTATATTGAGGTTGACCAGAGCTGCTGTCAAAACCGGAGCTAAATATCATTTCCGTTGATATGAAGTTACCCGTAATTGTCGCAAATACTTCCTTTTGCATCTCTATAATACTTTTAGCTGTATGGTTTAAAAGCATTTGTAAAGCAACCTTTGCACATTTGTCATCTACAAGTACACCATCGGGTCTGC